CCGACTTACGTCACCCACCGACGACAGTCCTTTCGACCTTCGTCGCCAGATAATGGTTTTTATGTCCTCCGTCGCCCACCGACTACGGTCCTTCCGACTTATGTCGCCCACCAACTACAATCCTTCTGACCTCCGTCGTCAGACAATGTTCTTTATGACCTCCGTCGCACCCCGACTACGGTGCTTCCGACTACAGTCCTTCCAACCTCCGTCGCAAGACTAACCGTCTTTATGAACTTCGTCACCCGCCGACTACGATTCTTCGAACTTACGTTGCCCACCAACTACGCTCCTTCCGACCTCCATCACCAGACTATGGTCCTTCTGATCAATCGAAAACGTCAACAGTGATTCTTTGTATTCCCACCATATAATTTACTCTATATGATGTACATCAAGCCATGGCCTTCCCCCCAGGAAGGGTCTCATTTGTAATCAACTGCAAATACTAGTTGATTCATTCAAACTGGGCTAGGCCCCGTGGGTTTTCCCCATTTTTTAGGGGTTTTCCACATAAAAAACTTAGTCTCTCTTGTGAATACTACACCCTCTCTCTTATATGATTGTGAGATAAATCTTCGTACAAAGTTAAGACATTAAACTTTATATTTCTCTATCGCCACGAATATTCTCAGACGCAACAATAATTATAAAATTAATTTTTAATAAAAAAATTTATTGAAAACATGAAAAAAATTATGATCTAAAACAATACCAATCAAAGCCTAAATTTCATTCGAGACAACTTTTTTCCTGCTCCCTATAGTTGTAAAGAAAATTATTTTTTTAAAACTATTATAAAAAGAAATTTACTATCACAAGAATTTCATTAAAAGCCCAAAAAAAAAAGACTAAATAAAATTTATGATTTTGATTTAAAGAACAAAATAATAAAAAAATATCACAAATAAAACCGAAATCTCATAGACAAATTTATAAAACTAAATACTAAACAATTATTCTAAAGCAAAAAATAAATATATCATGATAAATAAATGTAAAATGTATCAAAATTTTCTTTAAAATTCTTGAATTTATACTAAATTCAATATTATTTTAAAAATATCATATATAACACTAATCTCAACATAAATCTAAAAACTTTAAAATCTATCCTAATATATTTTATATTAGAATCAAACCACTTGCAGTGAACAACATATTAACAATAATAACTCTTCTTACTTGAAAAAAAATTATTCGGTGCAGATGCCGAATGCCGTCCGGAGACCAACTAAAATATGTCACATCACCTTGTGCTCGATACTACGGCTCGGTACCATATTTCATTACCGCTTACATGGCGCACTAGTTGATCTCCGAACGACGTTCTGCTTCCAGTCTCCGCATAGAATAATTTCTCTATTACTTGGATGCCAAAATGAAATGCAGGAAGAAAGCTATGGAGATTTGGATGAGCTTCTAATTTATTTAACAAGAAAGCTATGCCATCATTCATCACTGTATGCTGAATCTCATAGCTGAGACTTGGTAAGAAGGAAAAATAAACAAATAGGACTAAATTAACCCTCTGAAAGAATGTCGAGGCTACAGAAATCTACATCATGTGCAAAAGTATAGCCAACAGGAGGCAAGCCAGTGGATCACCACTGCTAAAAAAAGTTAAATGAGTGGGTCTGAAAGACTGCTGCTGATATGATACAATTCTCTTCTGCTATTGCAAGAGATGGTGTTGATTACTCTTCCTCTATCTTCCTCCACTATACTACACAAGTACAGAAATCTAAGTGATCTAACGGCTCTTTTTTTTTTCCTTTTTTTTTCTCTCTTTCTCTTTAATGCCATATCATGATGTGTATTGTCTCAGCTTCAGCAAAGCAGAACGCGAAGCAGACCTGGTTGTGATTGAGTGTAATGAAGTCCTTCATCCACTAAGTACTGCTCAACGGCTATAGGAAGCCTTGCAGGAGTTCTTGCCCCCTTGGTGTGGTGACCTGTTCCCACACATATGAAGACTTGCAGGCGATGGCCGCTTGACCTCACCGCATTTCTCAGAGTGGTCAGCTCGTGCTTTAGAACATGTATGGCTTCGTTCACATGAAGGCCATGGAGGTCAATCAGGCGTTCTTGCCCTCTCCCGTAGCCCTGTAGCTCGGAAGACAAAGGATTCCTGAAAACAACAGTCATTATAGCAGCAACAACATTTCGCAATTTAAGGCTTCGTTTGGGAGGCGGATTTAAGCAGTAAGAAAGCCGTTCATTTGGGACGGCTTTCTACTACTGTTTCTTAAATCAGCCCGTCCCAAAAGAAGCCTAAAATTTGGCTAAGGATTATTTTTACAACTATATTATACAACAACATTTCAAAAGAGTTGTGTACAGAAAATGTTTTAAGGACTGCATATAAAGTTTTTCAAAAATAAATCAAGCATGAGGATTCGTAAAGCCAGCTCAAACAGTTCGAATTTGTCAGATAAAACCCCTGAAGGACAGTATGGAGATTTCTATGAACAGAACTCACTAGTAGTACACACTGCTAATATGTAAAGAGCATAAAAGGTACATTATGGATCAAAATGGTCATACCAGTTTCAGTCACAAAAGTTCATGGCACATCTATAGCGATCCTTCGTTTCAAAATTATAAAAACAGATTGAGAAATAATTAGCCAAGAGGGTGAGCAGAAGTAGCATCTAATATGGATAAGATATTGAAACTATGGCTGCTACAATATCCGTTAGAAGATGAAACAATAAGATAGGTAGATGAAGAATATCAAGATATTAGGGAAAAAAGGGAAGAACAGAAGTAACCTCCAAAAAAAAAATTGCAAATTGATCTGCAAAAAATATGTAGCAGAAAGTTAAAGCAATGGATAACCCACCTTTGACGATATATGGTCTCTCTAGCCTTTGCATGAGCTTCTTTCATCTGCAAGTTGTACCACTTACCCTTATCACCAAGTTCCTTTGCTAGAGCCTTGTTGCCGATCAAATAAGCTTCTCTAGCCTGCAAAAGGAATAAAATACATGTTAAATTTGATTTCCAGATGAATATAATCCATTTATAGCCAAAAGGTTTGCTTGCATAGGTAAATTCATAATAAACACAAACAATGAGATTGTAGTTTCTAGTGTAGATTAATAGAAAAAAAAAGCACAAAAATTAACCTTATATAAGCTCAGGGATTTCAACAAAAACGGGATGGTAGGATAACTAAAATTCTTTTAATTCTAAATTTTTAATATACAAGGCATTATCCAACTATTTAGGAATGGCACCCTTAGATTCACAATGACTTCTGTTAAATTACATGATATATTAATGCAAGACAAGGATGACTCTAACTAAATCAGTTTCAAAGGCTGTTCATATGAGGTTTGGTGATAAAATTTTAAATATAAAAATCTCTTTTTGGAACAATATCAATCAGCCCAAATTAATGATTAAAGATAAATCAAATAGTTAATTGAATATTTCAAATTAAGGTGACATTATTTGCTTTAAAATAGAGAGATTTTGAGGGGCTACAAATATAGCCTTTGAATAAATTTTCAATGAGGAATTTCAGTGTAATTTCTTGCGGTTTCCTATTTTTCTATGGCACTTAATGTGTTAATTATACCTCGATTGATTAAATGAAAAATAGATTTGATTTATGATATAACCTTGAGCCTACAAGAAGTTGGTGTTGCTAACATGTGAATTGATTTGTAAATCAACCAAATTTTACGGTTTATGAACCCTAAAAATTTAAATTTTTCCCTTATTTCATGTTCCTACATCCCCACCACTTTCCCAAAATCTTAAACTACTTCAACCCTCAACAAAAATTAAGTAATAGCCCTTCCATAAAATCGTAGCTCCTATTATTCAAATGTTGTGACCAATCCGTATAAGAAAATCATTTCTGTTGGGATTTTTTGAGGGAAGCTTCTTGTTCTTTTTTGGATGAGAGGGAGAGAGGGAGAGAGGGAGAGAGGGAGAGAGAGGAGGAGAGAGGCATCTCAGAAGATGAAAAAACAGAAAACTAATCTTATTTCTTATCTTGAAGCACAAAAGCCTATTACAACCTCTCTATATAAAGAGACTTTTTTAGGATAAAATAAACCTATGAATCAACTATTCTAAAGCCAAGCCCCGCGCCCGTGTCAGCCCATGCCCTGCGCCTGCAGGTCCTCACACGCCTTGCTCATGTTAAGCCCGCACCTTGCCCGTATCCACCCGCGCCCCAAGGATCTCACTTATGTTCCTCGCTCACGCAGCCTAGCGGGCGATGCATCATCTTCCATTACAGCCTGTGATCGCGAGCCCTCACCTCGGCCTTATCGCAGACCCGCAGCCCCCACATGCACTCGGCCAATATCCTTCTACTTTTGATGGAAAGATAACAAAAATTTAGGGCTTAGCATGAACGATAGAATTTATAAAATTGTGAATGTATTCAATCATATAGATGAAAAATTCAGCAATCTTTAGAATTTTTTAACACAAGTTTTTAAATATGACCTAAAATCATTTCCCAAATATATGTAAAATATAAACCTCCAATAAAATGTGTCTGACTCAAACTGCTAAACCATCTACTTTAGATATTTATCCTCGTGAACCTGAACTCCCATTCGACTTTAATGTCCATGTTAACAAAACTTTTGCCACACCTCTTCCTATTGAGAGTTGTCTACCTATTATGCTTTCAAAACTTTTGAGTGGGTTACCTTAACATTTCCTAGTGAACTCATTGATAAGTCTCCTATTACACTTGAGAAGCTGATGTTTATTGTGGTCTCAATCCAAACCTTCTGATCAATTAACTAATGGCATGCTTTATAAGACTTCTTATTTTAAAAAGAATGGTGTGCTACTATCTTTTAAGGTGCAACTATCTGCTATAACTTAGATTTTTAGCTTGACTTATTTGACCTTACGGGCATACGTGATGACACTCCTCTCCATGAGATGCCTGACAAATAATTTCTCCTTGAGCACACATACCTTCTATAATCTCATATCCTCAATCTATGATATTTGAAACACACACATCAAGGAGTCCTGTGATGAGCCACCATCCATTCCTCTATGACATATTGATGCAACCTAAGTTCCTAAACAGTCAAAAGGAAAAAGGGGAAGAATCCCAAGCAGCCAAATCAGCAAAGGGGAAGAACCGAACAGCCAAAAGGAAGAGGAGAAGAATCCCAAAAAACCAAATCAGCAAGGGGAAAAACTGAACATCCAAAGAGGGGAGAGAAAGTAAGATTAAACTCAATGGCATGAACCGACCCGTGCGCACCGAACCCAGAATGATCAATGGTTGTTTTTCATCATAGGGCAACAACAACAACAACATTAAGCCTTTGTCCCACTATGTGGGGTCAGCTACATGAGCTTTTTGCCATTGTGTCCTGTTAAAAGTCAAATTCTCA